GTTTCGCACTGTCCCACAGTAGGTAGTAAGGACTCTTATCCTAAACTTTCACATTTTCAATGTTGAAGACAAGTCCAGGTCTAAGTAGGAAAAAAATTTCCTTTCTAGAAGATGTATTAAACCCATCCTCTGAGCAGAGCTGTAGCACTAAGCCTTGTTTTGCTTTGGTGTGGTAATACCAAAGGTCAGAGGTGGTAGTGCATGGTTACCAGTCATGTCAGCTTGGCTGTTTTGCAAGGGAAATTTCTTTCTCTCTGCATAACTTTTTGCAGGCATGAAGGACTAAGGGAACATGTTGTTCCCCACCGCTACCTTCATTCCCCAAAAATATACTGTTTGCTCTACCCATCTGCCTGCAGGTATAATATCATGCTCGTTAAAGAAGTCCCAGATCAATTGCATGAAGAGAAATGGGGTGGGCTGCCCTGAGCTTCTGGAGCCGTAATAATGTGCAGGCCAACAATGGGCCTAGTGTTCTTTCAGCTGATGATTAAATACTTGGCTCATAAATACCAATATTATGTAATTCTGAAATCAAGTCAGCAAATCATGACCATATGGGAGACTCTCTGTTTGGGAAGACTTGAGTCTTCCAAAGTCAGTCTGAGGAACAAAATAGGCTTCTCATCAAGAGTTTGTGGGAGCAGCGGTGGTGACTTAATCCGCTGTCTCTCCTCATGCCCATCGTGTCCTAGCTTGAGATTAAAAGTATGATCCAAAGGCCTGTGGGGTTATGTGAGTAGGCCCAGGACTGTTGTGTTTGCTCGAGCTCTGGCAGTCAGTTGTGCTGCCTCTTTGGAGCTCATTGGTGTGATGGGCAATAATTACAGGTGGGCACCAGCAGGGTGTCATCTTACTGAGAAGCCTAATTTTAGCAGGTGATCAGTACATCCAGTCATCCACATCTTAGTTGATTGTGGGGGCTTTTGAGCACACATGTTATGCTTCTGGCACTCTGTGTCCCTGCCTCATCTGGGTGTAAAACCACACCAAGGCTATGGCATTCTGAGGGAACCTGGGTCTTCTTTCCATATCGTCTGCTTTACAGGAGGCCTCACAAATATTATGTTCCTGCCTGAGACTGCAGGAGGTTTAGTTAGTACTAAGAGCTCTAAAGCGTTAGAGTTGCAATTATGGGTACCAAAGGCTTTTAATTTTCTATGTAAATTGAAATCTGTCTCCCATTGACACAACACCTACTGTTGCTGGTGGATGCAGGGAGTATCCTGCTCCTTGCCAGTATTGTTCCTTCCAAGGAATCTGGTGCTGTGATGCGATTTGGGTAGAATACACTTGGTGCTGGATATCTCCATATGTTCTGCAAGACTGCAGCAGTTCACGACCTGCTCCATTTCATTTGCAGGCAGTTTTTGTGTTGCCTCTTTCAGCAAAGAGATGATGAATTTGAATACCCAGTAGAGCCTACGTATATCCTGGGACAGGATTCCAGTTGCCTAAGAAGTTGAATTCAAAGGTCTTTTCCATCTTTGAGCATTTTGATCTTATGACCTCATATCTGAGTTAACCATAAATGACTTCTCAGTAATTTGTGTTAGTTTGTATTGACAAACGCTAGAAACACTTACAAATGGATTAAGTTTATCTGTGCCTATCTCGCAGTATCTGGTGAGGGCTACCAAAAATCAACTAGGAGGAAGAGGCTGTGCTTGCTACTTACAAGTGCGGTTGGTGTGATACATCCGTAGCTGTTGTTCAGAGAGGCTACCAATGGGCAGTGCCTCATAATATATAGAAATAACCTTGTAGTGTGTTGAGGCATACAAGGTCTTTCTCTAGCAGTCGCGTGTGCTCCCCAGAGAGGTCTCACTATTTTGCCCAAGGGCTTCCCTTGCTCTTGTAATATCAACATTTACTGCTTTCCTATTATTGCCAGTTTAAACAACTCTTGGCATTTTATCATCCACGTGTAGCCAGAAATAACCAATATGGAACACCTTGTAAAAATAATGGGGGGTGAGAATAGGTAGTTGAGAGAACAAAGCTCCAACTGTCTTTTATCATTCCTTGGAGGAAATCACATTGTCATGAGCTTCCATTTTAGCTTCTATGTGGGGTGTGGAAGGTCCTGTGTTTCATTTTCCTCTCTTGGAGGAGGAAGGCAGAACTTTCTGCTGAACAGTAGGGCTCAAAAGCAGTGCAGCCTGGTGATCAGAGAAGTTGTGCAGCGTGGATTCTTCTAACTCTAGTCTATGGCCTTGAGCAAGTCACTTAGTGTTGTGGGGTCCAGTTTCCCACCGCTCCAGGAGAGCCAAAGGCTTTGTTCATCTGAGGTGCAACTTCCACAGTGATCCTGCAATATCCTGCTCCTAACAAAACTAAGACGACCTTTCCCCTCTGTTTAATTTTCAGTATGTTGAGGGACATGTTCAGAAACATCACGCTGATGGACTTGCCCTACCCTGGCTGTTATTTGAGCTCTTTGGGCAGCATTAGCAGCAATACAGAGCAGGACACTGGACTGTCAGGGCTGTGCTGAATTCAGGTGATTGAACTGAGCAAGTCCCTTTTTGCAGTGCTCAGCAATAACAAACGGGTTCAGTGGTGCCTGTGTTAGGATTCGCTGCTAAACAAATGCAAGGAAATTTCTGTAACGACCCTAGGCCAGACATGAATGTCGTCAGCCTTTGGAGTTTCCTGCCCATCTCTCTCACCAGTCTCTGTATTGATAAGGGGATCATCTGCTGAGAGTGGTCAGCACGTCTTGATGCTGAAATGCCATCATGATTTTCTTTGGTTGACTCTGGAAATGATTGTATTTTCCACTGCAGTGCTGCAGCAGGGAAAAGCACTGACCATTTTGTGGTAGGCAGGAAAATCATATGTACGACTAATTAGAAGAAGTGTATCAGCAGCTTGAGACGACTGTCCAGTATCTTCATCTGTAGCAGGCAAATTTATAGTTTCAGTCTGAATTAGTTCTTGTCCACAAGAGGAGTTGTCGTGGTTTGGGCTCTCAAACAGGACCCAGGACAGCAGTGAAGCCAGAGAGAACATAATGAACTCTGTGAGGGAACGTGCACAGTACGTCTCCAACAGACTGCTCTGAACTAACCTGCAGTGAAGCTTTCTTCTGTGGACACGATGAGGTCATTAGGTGGCTAATGGTACCTTTTGAAACAGAGGTGTGTCTGTCACCTGCCAAAATGAATCTCACAAATGTGAAGGAAAGCCTTACACCTGGTGAATGTTTCTCTATGAAAATATTGTCTTTCCATGTGAGCGGGCTTTCTTAATGCAACAGAAGATCGCCAACAATTTTTTTCCCCCTCATCTTCCCTAGTTTTAGATAAAAGCTTTTGGATGATAGACTTGAGAAGACTGGAAGAAAGATTCTTGTGGACAGATATTTTTTTTTCTTCTTTGCCCTTTCTGCTTCTTTTGCCAGAAGTGCTCTTTCACAAGTGTTTTATGACTGAGCAAAGGAAAGAGAGAGCAAAGGAGAAATACCAAGAAAGGAGAGAGTTTTTAGGGTAAACAGTTTTCTCACTAAAACAACTCAAAAAGAGGAACAACAACAAATTTTTCCCCAGTTTTAAAAAAAACTTTAAATGGATTGATTGCCTGTCAGTGTTGCTCACATCAGTGAATTTCTGCATTGGAGGGACAGGCTGTAAATGGGAGGCGAAGGAGGGATGGGCAGCTGCTGGGAGAATGGGTCGCAGTGCCATCACCTCAGATGGCCCCTTTGCCTTCCCCCAGTGATTAACAGGAGGTGGCTTCCTGCAGTGATTACTGTGTTTTAAGCAGCTTGGTCCAGCTTGGAACAATCACCCGGCTGCCTAGGCACTGAGAGCACAAGCTCTGGGCTTTGCTGTCTGTGGGATATTAGCTGAAACCAGTGTGATCCAGGACAATTGAAAGCCAATGCTGTTGAACATCGTCTCTTTTTTGGTTCTGGGAGACTGAAGATGCTGGTAGTTTCTGAGATCAGTTAGCAGCTCTTTCAGAAGAAGGGCCGGGCTGTCACATTCGTTTTGCTGCCTTTAACTGTAAAAGGTCCCCCTACGGTGGTCTTTATGCATAGTTAGCATTTTCAGCCTTCCTACCAAAGATTCAGCCAGTACAGACAGTGACTCTAATGCAGCAGGTTTGTTTGACATCAGGGCTAATTAGCAATTATCCAAATCTTGGAGCAAGCTCTTTCAGACCTGGGTTGGCTTTTTTTTTGGTTTGTTTTTTTTTTTCCCCCTAAGGAGGCTAGGCATAAAATTCCATCTGCCTAATTTGCAAATGCAATTGCTTTAATTATGCATCCAAATTGGTAAAGTGTATGCTCAAAAAGATAGGTAGCTAATTCTATGCATGTAAGATGATAATGCATATACAAATTAACTGTATCCTCCAAAGCCTGCACCATCTCAAAACCTTCCCTCTCTGAGGAAAACTGTTTTAAAAGAAGAAATCCTTTCTTCTTGCAAGTTTACAGTGGCTAAGACAGCCTGTCTGCCAGTTTAGTTTGTTGTTTTGTTGCTGTTGCTCATGCTGTTTTGTTTTACAGAAAGAGATAACTTTCTTTGCCCAGAGCTAACTCTTGCCAACAAGGACCAGAACACAGAAGTTAGATGCTGTGAATGTACCTGCTGCTACATTCAAGAAATTTTCAGCCCCAAGAGATGACAGATGCAGGGAGGACATGGGAATGTAGATTTTGATAACTGATGGTGAAGACAGTGGATGGAAGGTTGGAGAACGGGCCAGAGAGGTCAGCCGGTGCGTCAGCAGCCTCTGCTCTGCCTTGCCGGTGTTCTGCCCTGACCTCATTTATTGGCATCGTAATAGCAGACCCTGGTACTGGTTTTCCTTGCACCCCATGTAGGTCACCTCATGATCATTCTGAGACTTGGTTTCTAAAGCTCCAGCCTTTTGGTGGTTCTCCTGCGTGCCTGGGCCTGGTGCTGCCAAACTGGCACTAATCTCACTGGATGGTTGTGGCAGGTCCTGTTTTGTCCTCATGGTTTCTTCCTTTTCTTTTTTCCCAGATGAGCAACAAAAGGTCAAATAGTTTCCGCCAAGCCATCCTTCAGGGGAACAGGAGGCTGTGCAGCAAGGCGCTGCTGGAGGAAACGGGGCTGAGCCTTTCGCAGAGGCTGATCCGGCATGTTGCATATGAGACCCTGCCACGAGAGATAGACCGCAAGTGGTACTATGACAGCTATACCTGCTGCCCTCCACCCTGGTTCATGATTACCATCACTATTGTAGAGGCAAGTACCTTAATTTCCTCTCTCTGGGAACCCACCCCACACTGCCAAAGGCTTTGCTGGAACTTGATCAAGGGCTAGTGGGATTCATTTAAACTCGGACAAGCATGAAGCTGATAACCATTTTGGCTTACCTGTATATGTGTGTGTGAGTGGAAACCGTGATCCTATCTGTCTCCCAGTGTGGTTATTAGTCATTGAAACAATTTGTATATGAAACTACAGAATCTGGGAAACTAAAGCAAACCTTTTTGAGGAGTGAAGATTTGGACAGTTCTAGGGAAATTGGTAGTTCAAATAATGGAATTAGAGGAAAAATTCCTATATGGTTACCTCTCTTCTATGAATGGAGAGAAAAGGAGGTAAGAGAAACTGAATTAAATATTCTGACCTGCTCATCCATTGCCCAAATGAGATCTTTGCACAGCTGCTGAGTAATAAGCACAGGGGATATAATATGGCACTGATCCCGTAGGGTACTGAGTTCTTTTGACTCAGTGGCTGGTGTGTTACAGAAAGCTACATATAGAATTATACCAATGCGTGACAGGTTCCTCAAAACAGGGAACTTTCATGCTGTGTGAAGCTGTCAAATGGCAGAAAAATTATTGTATATTTGACTTTTTTCTCCATGATTTTAAGCTACAAAGTGCTTTTCAGCGAGAGAAGGCATTTACTAACCAAGGAATCTCCCTGCTCTTCTAGGTTGCCTTTTTTCTTTACAATGGAGTGGTATTAGACAGATTTGTGCTGCAAGTCACCCATCCCTTATACCTGAAGAACACATTACTTTACCATCCTCAGCTCCGTGCTCAGGCTTGGAGGTACCTAACCTACATATTCATGCATGCAGGGTGAGTACTTACAAACTGCAGAGATTCCCCACAGTTCAGGTTCCCCAAAGAGAAGGAGGAGGAAGAAGCAACAGAATCAGCTCAGAAATCAATTTTAAAAAAATAAATTCTAAACTGCATATAAAAATCTGAAGCTGTTGTGGAGTGTTGGGCAATGAAGGGCAAACCTTTGCAGCTCTCTGAAGGGAGGAGGCAACATAAGAAACTTAACAGATGCTGTTCTTCTCCCCAGCAGTGTTGTGACCACACCTTCCTCTTACTATTGCACTTCCCTGTGTGTGCTTCCTAAAACTCACCAGATCGAAGCCCAGCATCCCTCTAGAGGAGCTGTGCAAGCGGTAGAACAAGTCTGCAAAGATGCTGGACCAGTATTTAAAAACTACATGGTGTGTTCTTGCTAAACTCCCTAGATGAGGTTGGAAAAGTCAATTAAATTCCCTGTGCCTATGGCATGTCATCACTTAGTAATGTTGTCCCTTCTGTAGGGACTGAGATAATGCCTAGAAGCCTGAGTCAAGATTGAACTCCCATTTTGTATGCACTGTACAAAACCCAGTGTTCCTGAAGAGCTGATAATCTCGACTGACCAGATGGACAGAGAATGGTCCATCTAACGCAAAATGCAAAATGAAGGTGTGCAGTAAAATGAATCCTCCTTCATCCTATGGGAGGTATGTAGCAGACTTGGGAAGAGAATACAAGGCGTGGGGATTCTAACTCTGTGCTTGTGCTTCTCGACTGTGCTAGTCCTTCCAAGATTCAAAGAGACTCAATTGTGTGATGTTTGTGATGCCATGGTGATGAGTGAGTGTCACAGGAAAGTTCATCCCTGTACAAAACACTCTACCCCCTCTGAGTAGTTTCTCAGATCATTATCTTCACACGTTCCTGGCAGATAATTGCAATTTTCTTTAATTCTGTCATTGAAAAATCACAGCAACAAGCTTTCTAGCAGTAGTTTATAGTTTGAAACTGGATAAAGACCCTTTGTTCTTAAATAGAAAGCCTATATTCCCATCAGTCAATGTTCTCCTATGAAAGGCCAGAAAGATCAAGCTGATCTCTTCCTTTTTCCATGTCTCTGATGGAAGACATGCCGATGTCTCTTGTCTGCCATGGAATAACTGCCTCTGTGTGTAATTGCCCTTGAGCACAAGATGTGCCCCAGATCCTGGATAAAAATCATAGGACAGAACAGACTCCACCCAAGGGGACAGTAGGAAAAAATATATAGATGAAACTTCTGAATGTGGCAACATGTGTACTCTGTATGCTAAATCCCTCCCAAAAGTCCACTATGTAACAGGTTTCAACCTGCAAGTGGAGACTATTGGGCTTAGCCGTGAGGCTGGTTATGTAAAATGAGAGTTGGAAATTTCCATTGCTGAGGATGTGGGGAAAACTGGGCTTGCAAAAGGAAGAACCACTTGATTTTAACTAATGTTAGATAATTTGTATCTGGGTTTTCTTCTGGTGGTGGTGGTGTTCTACTATATCTCAGGCTTATTTCACATCTGTGGCTGGCTCAGAGTTGAACAGTGGGGAAGGTGGTGTGCAGGAGACTCATTGTTTTTGTGAGTTCTTTAGCTTCATAGCTTTCAAAACAATGGAGAGTCCCACAGGAACAATAAACTCCATGATTTATCTGCAGTATCTGGAGTTAGACTAAATGTTCATTTATTGCTAACTTCTCTGTGTTAAGCTCCTTTCATATCAGGAGAACAGATAAATCTTGGAAAGGTAATAACATTTGTTAGTGGAAGCCCATCATTCTCCCCTCATTTTGAAATGAGAGGCTAACACAATGCCATGGGGTCTATTGTTATCCTGCCTCCAGCTGAGACTTTAAAATGGTAATGTGGACTGCTCCTTAATTTAGTGCACTCAGTCTGTTATTTTTTGAAGAGCAAGTGACAGCCGGAAGGTGTCCGAGAGGACAGCAGTTGCTAAGGCTTGGCTTGTTGTTCCTCTAGAAAGATTCCAAAAATGCATGGGCTGTGTGTGTTGGTCCTGATGGAGGGGGCTTTGTCAAGGGCTGAAAAGGCAGGCAAAGTTGTAAATTCTGCCCTTCTGCTTTCATGGAAAGCAGATGTTGATTATCTGGGGCCCACGCATTTGTAACACTGCCATAACTAATGACTTGCATTGATGCACAGTCCCATTTGTTTAGTCCTGTTTGGAAGGAGAAAGTCTTTAATAAATCAATGAAATTGTCATTTCAAGAATGACACATTCAGCACTGGCAAAGGCTAATTATATTTTATGGGTGCTTATTGACAGTGGAGCCTTCAAAGCTCTTAGCATGATGGGGAGAAGTGAATGGGATTGCTCCTGGAAAGTCTTTTAAGAACAGCTGTGAATCAGAGCAGTCATTTTAGAGTCTAGGATAAACTTTACTGAGCTCTTACAAAAGCTTCCTTTGAAAAATAAGATCCAGTGCTTTGTGTGAAAATGTCAGGTGCTTCCTCATGATGTTGACTGTGTGCCAGCCAAAGCTGCTTCCCTCTTCTCTGTAAAAGGGCACTTGGATGCTTTGACTCTTTTCTGTGATCTTAGTTTGACCTTTGCTGGTTGTTCCTAATTTAGTTCCTAAGTTCTCTGAATATGCAGGATCAGAACGGGTGTCAGAATATGCCCATGCCCAGTGGCTTCAAAAGTCTTGAGCAAGGTAATAAAAACACCGTTACATGCAGCAGTTTGCCATGATGACAAACTGCAGTGCTGAGTGTCTCGTGCAGAAGAGAAATTTATCCTTGGAGAGAAATTCAGTGGAAGCAAACCTATTAAGATATCCAGAAAGGACTGTTTCCTGCAGTATCGTTTCTTGTGTTTTTTTCCGGTCCAACTTTAGATTCTCATTTATGAGACTGTTCTGTCATTACTGCATCTCACCATCATCGTTTTTCTCTGATGTATATGGGAAATTGCTATGGTAACATGAAGAAAGACCAAAACAGCGTAAATGCGTGTAACTTAAACCAAAGATTGGTAGTAGCTGTCTATAATCTACTAGGATGTAGATTTTCAATGCATTAGCTATTTTGTGCTCTTTCCCCCGTAAGATGCTAGCCTTCTGTGTTAAGGGTACTGCTGTCTCATTACAGAAAGGACTATACCCCTGGGTCCAGTGTGGTTGCCATTCAGCAAGGTCATAGTCCTGTGAGCCCGGGGTAAATCTCGGACACTAGCACAGTGCTGAGATGGATCCTGTTCAGGGGTGATTACATCACTGGAAGATCCTGCAGGTGGCATAGTCATGGGCAAATATTTGTGTAGAGCTTTGAAAAGTAGCAAGACAGTTTTGTTAAGTACTATTGATTAGAACAACAAAGGGCTTGCTTTGAAACTATTGATCCAGCGCTGGAGAAAACTGGTGCGCTGGAGTCTTTACCAAATACGTGCATCTTAGCTGTCACACTACCTCTAGTCTGCAGGTGGTCCTGCACGTCCTGATGTGCACAGCAGAGTTTTCTACAAGACTAGTATCAGCCCTGCTTTTCCCATTGTGTTCAGCATGAGTTTTTGCTATTGACTGTAATGGAAACCAAGGGTAGGTGAACAGAGAGCTTCAGTGAATACACCTTGTGTCTCACTGGGCACCTAACCACACATAAAATGCCCTCTGCTTCCCATTCTGGCCATGGTCACATTGAAGCAGGTGCAGCAAAAAAGGATGAGGGTCAGATAGCACAAACAGTAAACCAGCATTATGTGTCACAAGGAAATGGCAACTGTCTTGGGACTGCTAGGCTTGCCTTGCTCTTGACTTAGTATCCACTCCCCATCATAGCAGTGTAATATGTGCAGGGAAGGGCTGTATCATTAGGAAAGGAGAAGAGAGGAGCAGATCAAGTTTGTGGCTTCTGTTCCAGACTCTGCTGCCATCTTGCTGCTTTTTTGGACAGGTCATTTAACTTCTTCAAACCCTCTATTTAAAAAAAAAAACAAAACAAACCAAACAACAAAAACAAAACCAAAAACAACAAAAGGAAGTGTCACTAAGAGAACCAAACGTCCTATGGGGTCTTTGGCTGAAAGGGCCTGGGTGGATATGAAAAAGATAATGAGCAGCAAGGAGGGAAGAAACATTGCACCTCTCAGTCTGATTTTTTTCAGGAACGATTGTTTTTCCCAATGTTACAATCTACTTTCTTGAAGCAGGTGCTACTTGATTTCCTTTCCAAGATATCTCTGTCTCAAGTATAGAGAAGGGAGACAAAGGCTTAGAAAAGAGGACAACTGTTGTTTTTCCTTGCCACAGGATAGAACATCTTGGACTCAATGTTGTCCTTCAGCTCTTGGTTGGGGTTCCCCTGGAAATGGTGCATGGAGCTGCGAGGATCAGTTTTGTGTACGTTGCTGGAGTTGTGGCAGGTAGGTGACACCTCTGGATGCCCCAGATGGAGAAGCATCTGGAAAAGGTGTGTGCTGACTTTCTTGTAGGAGAAATGTTTCATGATGTTTGGATGTAGGAAAAGAGCAGTCACTGATCTTCTGTGAGTTGAAATTCTTTTGGAGGCTGGAAGTAGGAAATATGCTACGTCCATTTCTAACTAGCCATAGGCTCTATGTTTAGCAGACCTGCTAAAAAAGCACCAACCACCTGTTAATTTAAAATAGCCTTGCTTTGGATGGTCTTCCTGAATGTGGAGGTCATGCTGTTCCTCTCCTGTTGTGTCCCACAGAGGCCTAGAAGAAAGGTGGCACCACAGGCATCCCTACATGAAGAGTCTTTTTTTTTTTTTTTTTTTTTTTCTTCCTCTCCCCTCCCAGCTCCTTTGCTAGTTCTTCCTCTATTTGTCCTGTGCTGTCTGCTCTCTACAGCCTGAGTAAGCAAGAAGTATTCGGTTGTAGGTTGTGAGCAGTGCACAGGAATCTGGAAATTCATTTAATCATGGAGCCATGGGGTTTGATTGATTTCTTTTTTTTTTTTTTTTTTTTTTTTTTTTTTTTTTTTTTTTTAGTTTGTGCTGTATTCCTTTTATTTATGTTTGGCATTTCCAGCAGTTTGGAGGTGATGGAAGTTAGCTGACTATAGATCAACATCTAATTAAAACAGGAGGAGAGTGTAAGAACAACCAAGGGCTTCACAGTGGAACTCAATGATTGACTGCAGTATTTCAAGATTTATGGTGATTATTTTTTTTTCCCATAATAAGCAGATAAAGCCTCTGTAAAATGGGCTGCATTGGGTACTAATAAATTCTACATTCCAGTAGAGAGACTGTGGAAAGAGTATTTGGGCTAGGATGCGGGACTAGGCGTGGTACAAACCCCATGCTATTTAATGCAGAGAAAGGAGTTAGCAGAGTTTCATTTTTTTAGACAAGCTGCTGCATCCTCATAGACTTGCCTTTCACACCTTATGACCTCTAAATTGTGGAAGAAAGTGCCAACTGGAAAGGGAAAACTTTCCTCCTTAGTGCAGGGTGGAACTACAAATGTGACCAGACAGTCCCACACAGAAAAACGTCCCACGATACCCTCACCTGTTTGAGTTGTTAGCCAATTATTAAACATGTTTCATTCTTTGACATGTGCCAGGAGAGAGGGAAAGAGGCATACTTATGCTGACGATCTGGCAATATAAAGATAACACAGCTCCTAAACAATCAGGAATAAACCATAAAATGTAGACAAGGGCCACAATGGCCACTCCCTACTTCCCCCCACACAATTTGTCTGGCTTTACTAAGGAGACGTGTTGAGACTGAGGTCGAGAGACTGAAGGTATATGCTCAGTACAGTGTCCGAGAACTTAACTGCAAGTTCTTATTACTCCTTTCTTAACTTCTCATTAACTTTTTCCTTAATGGCAGTGTTTAAGAGCTGTGAAGTCTCAGGGCCATACAGTGAAGGAGGGAGCTATCAGCAGAGTTGGCTGGTGGAACCTCAGCACTTTCTTGACCCAGAATCAGCCAAGCAATTAGCAAAGAAGTTTGTTAGATTCTGTACTACCAAGGACTCTCTCAAGATTTGCTATTGTGTGTTTTTCTTACTCTTCATCACAAAGATCTTCATTATCGCTGCCTTGTGACACCCAAGTCTGCCTTTGTCTCTCTATCCCTTAAATTACTCTAAAAGTTTGCAATTAAAGGAGCTTTGAGCACATCCAAACCTCCAATTGGGATAAAGAGAAGCAGTGTCTAAGTTTGGATGTATTCTTACTAGTGGTGCCTTTATGTGATTGACCTGCCATTTTGCTATCTTGCGCTTACTGTCTCCATCCAGGTTATTTTTAGCTAGTTTTACTCTGAAGTTTTATAAGTAACAGGCTGTGCTTTGATCAGAGACCTGTGCTAAATTACAAGTACTCAGTTATTTCTCGCTGTGCAAGTATTTGTCTTGCCAGCACGGGAGCTACTTCTATTTTATCTTCAGGTGAGGAACAAGACATGGACATTTTTCTGTCTCCTGCTTCCCTGTTGTTTTAATCAGGGTGTGCCTTTTTGCAGCATAGGTTCGAAGATATGTTGCTGCCTTGCTTGACTGCTTTTGAAGTAGGTGCAAAAGAATCAATCAATCAGTGTCTTGGCATTACTACAGGATTGAGTTAGCTTCATGAGTCAATTGATCCCCCCTTTATCTGTGTATTACTGACCTGCAGCAATTAGCACAAAACAGGCGGTAGCAGGGATGTAGGGTAAGAGAGAGTGTGTTTATTTAGCTGGCAATTGTCACAAACCCTTGTTCTTTCTCCCAGGGTCCCTGGCAGTGTCAGTAGCTGATATGACTGCGCCTGTGGTGGGCTCCTCTGGAGGCGTGTATGCTCTTGTCTCAGCTCACTTGGCCAATATAGTCATGGTGAGTACCAGGACGACTGTGTAACCTCTTCGGAAGTGAGCCATGTCTGGTGGCCCAAAGGGATTGGAAATAGGGCCTGACCCAGCTGTTGGTCATCCAGAGCTTGCCTCAGTTAAGAGTCTTGTCTCAGTGGTGTGGTCCTGGAATAGAAGTGTTACACTGCAGTTGGTGGCTTGGTACCCTGATGGCTGGCTGCTTGTCAGGAGAAGTGGAAAGTGCTGGTAATCCAAGACTTATCAGTGTACTCTAGGCTATCAGCTCACCTTGCAAGGGATGACAAATGTTTGGAAAAGAAGGAGCTGACTGGCTCTGCAGAAGCTGCAGACTTGGTTGGGTCTGCATGTGCCATGCGGTGTTAGCAGGTACCTAAGGAAATTTAGTATTTGGATTTTTGTGCAGAATATCCCTTATCTCCATTTGTAAATCATAGAATTGTCTATGTTTGAAGGGACCTTTAAGATCATCGACTCCAACCATCGACCTAACACGGACAAAACCACTACTAAACCGTGTCCCTAAGCACCACGTATACCCACCTTTTAAATACCTCCAGGGATGGCAATTCCACCATGTCCCTGGGCAGCCTGTTCCAACATTTTAAAACCCAGACCAAAGCTGAACCCTGGGTGTACTAGTGATGCATCTTTTTGCTGTTTCACCTCATGAAATACTTTACAAAATTCAGTAAATACCAGCGTTGTCATTTGTCTAAGATCTGGAAACAGGAGCTCATCCAATGTCCTCAGCTAGGTGGTGCCAAAGCCCAGCATATCTACCTGTGTGACCCCTAAGCTGACCACTGGGCAAAAATGGCTTTGCTGAGAGAGCTGGTTTTGCTGTGATTAGGATTCATGTGTGGTGGTACAGGGCTGCATGTCTGTCCTGCACCAGCAGTGTCAGAGCAGAATAACTGTAAAAATTATGGTAATGCGTCTTCCCCTGGGGTCTGAGTGGGAAGATAATGTGAGTTGGCTGCACTGCAGACAGAAGGTCTGTTGTATGGGTGCTGGAAAACGTGTGTGTGCAGTGGTACTTGTGTCAAGCCTAAAAGAAAACCTTGTATTTAACGCTTGTATGCAGTGAAGTCAGCAGGTTCGGCCTGCAAGCCACGACGGTGCTGCTCCAGGCAGCCTTTGTAGCATCTGGGAGCGGGGAAGTGGGTGGTTTCCTGAGCAGAACAGGTCTCCTTTGCTGTCTTCAAGATTTTTGGAGCATGAATGAGCTGGGGACTGTTGTCCAAATTAGGACGGTTATGTGGCTGGCAGAGAGCTAGGGAGTGGAGGAGAGGGGCTACCTCTATACCACAGGGTTTCTACTGGGGAAATGTCTCTTTATGTGCAGTTATTTTCGGTACAGTTTGTTTCCTGCCACTGGGCCAACAGAAGTAGGAGGGAGTTTCTTCTGTCTCACAGAGTGGTAATGCAGACACAGGGTTTCTTCACACCGAGATTCAGAGGGGGAGATTGGAAGAAATTTTAGGTTGCTTTAGAGGAAGAGGCTCTGCCAGAGGTGTGTGGAGCATCTGCACCAGACATTTTCCCAGACTTCTTAAAACATTGCGAAGTGGCCTGTTATTTTGCTGCTCGTTGCCCTCCTCTATTTAGCAATTGCTGCCTTAGCATCTATATTTCTCCATTATCCCCTGCCTCTTTTCTCATCTGAAATTACTTTTACTGCCTTTGCCATTCTGGTGCAGTTTTTTCTGCTTTTCTTTCCCCCTCTTCTCTCTCTCTGCTCACTTAATATCTAGGTGTGATGCTCCCTCATGCTGGAAGACATGCTGGCCATTTGCTGGTAAAGCAGTCTCGTACAGGTGCTTTGAGTGTGCTGGGAAGGGGAGGCACTGTTGCAAGGAGGGTCTTTTGAATCTTCTGTTCCCTTGTGCCT